AAACTAAAAATTAAAACTATGCTAAATAAAGCCTAAGGTGCTTGGCCATTGCCAAGATAAGGTAGCTTAAATAATGAATTATATAATAAAAAATAATTTTTCTCGTCTTAAAGTTTGAACTCAAAATTTTTAACTTGAAGTATCAAGTTTTTAACTACTTGAAAAACCCTAAAGTTGAGCATGGGTTCGATATTTATTGTTTTCCTATACTAAATTAATTTTAAAATACTAGGATAGGGAAGAAAAATCTACTACATATAGGTTTCCGATAAGAGTAAAGAAATGAAATATCCTATGTATAATGGCTAAGGTAAAAAATAGAAATTACTTGAAAAAAAAAAGAAAAGAAAAAGGAAAGGATAGACATTACTTGAAAAAAAAAAAAAAACGAAAAAAAAGGAAGCAAGCGTAATGCATTACCTCAGCCTTACCCTACACATTACTATCTCGACAAGAAAATATGAGTTTCGCAAAGAAAATATGAACACTAAACTCCTAACCTAAACAGTTTTAAATAATTGTTTAGTACTTTATTGTACCCAAAAATGATTTATTAGTACTATATCAATCACTTTTACCTGCACTCAATTCCATGACCAACTCGCAGGCTGGAGCGGAAAAGCAGCAGCATGCTTTAGAAACGTATATAGAATTATCTAACTAAATTAAGAACATAAAAAATCATAAACAAAATTCACCTGCTACCCATTGGATGCCATGACAAACTAAAATTGATATAGACTTCCATTGTGTTTCCCTACTCATATTTGTCAATCGGAATCTCAATGGATGGAAAATTTCTTGCATCTCTTTAAGGAGAATCCAAGTGTCGAGAATGAAACTTTAAATTTAAAGAATTCAAGTATAAAAATCAACAATGAGCGTAGCAAGGATTTGAGAAGGGAGAAAACTTATCTCCCCTCCTAAGTATTTCGTAGCCCATCGTCAGGGCCAAGTAACAAAAAGTTCCCAACCTCGTTACTTTCTACACAATTTCAAGATAATTTTGCTTGAAAAAGTTAAATGCACTCTCTAAAATATCTAACCAGATAAGTGATAAGCTCAGTTACATCAACATCAATAAAGAAACCAAATTCAGAAAATTAAAAAATCAGTTAAGAATTTTGAGCTTGTTGTGTCCACTTTTGCTTATGTCATTTTCAAATAGGAGGGGATTGATTCAGAAATGTTAACTAAACACCCAACTCTGACCTATCAGATGGCACAGGACAAGTGAAGCCACGTACCTTGTAATATTAGGAAAACTGAAAGCCTCAATATGCATCCACCAGGCAGAATGTCCCATATATCCATTAGTAGTGTCAGTGAGTGATGTAGGTGGCTCCAACTAACGTCAATCAACAACCATAAATTATCATCATACTTGTTTCTTTCTTCCCCACAATATACCTTTCACAATTACTTGATCATTGCAGATTTGCTTTTCATACACCGAAGAAAGCATGTAAAAGGTTTCTCCAGATTCTAATGGCATTTCTATAGAAGATGAATGAACCATCATCTTCTTGTAAATAAGAAAAAGCATGAGAAACGAGCAGCTCTCTGAATTACTCTTCAACAATTTCTTTGTATTGTATCTGCAGATTAACAGGGTAATACCAAAAATCTGCTTGGAAATAAGTCATAGACTGTGCATGTAAATGTATGATCAGATCATAACCATCAAATTGCTAGATCTTAACTTATTTCATCACCAGGAAATAGAAGTAACTCTAAGCATATTAACAAATCACAAAGAAAACCTGAGTGGTATTCACTAATTATGAAACTGTGATTTGGGGTCTGGGTTAAGGGTTCAAATCTCTATAATTGCTAAGTAGCTAACTTCTAATATATCAGAAAAAAAAAAAAAGAAGAGAATGATAAATATTTATTATAATAGCTCGACTATTGTTAATGTCCTGTATCATGAGATTTATTTTCCATGATTTACAAGCATATCAGAGACCAGGGCTAGGCCCTCAAAACCAAAACAAAAGGTGGTGGAAGTACCTATATGAGTCAAAACAATAATATACTTGAGGGAAGACCACAATAAAATTAATCTAGAATACTGCCTCAAAGGTTTACTATGCAACTACTGGTGGTTAGGAATAAGCCATCCAGCTTTACAGAATCAGCACAGGCCATCCATAAAGCTGTTCAAAAAATGAAAAAAAAAAATGCTTTCCATTAAACCAGTCCAAAATTCTGTTGCATGTCACCTCTTACATGAAGAAATCTAAGTCTAATGTTCCAATCCAAGATTCTCATAGGAATAATGTCATGAGGGATGTTCTCCATGCTCCGGATCAGTTGGCAGTGTCAACTGATTTAGTGGAGAACATTGGCTGAGGTTGAGTATTCGAACCCCCAACTCAACACCATTCCCCTCCCCCTTAGCGAATATATAATTGTAATATGGTTGCCTTATTTCGAAAAAAAAAAGAAGGAATAACGTCTTGATACTATAGAAATATGCTCAAGAATCTTATAACTTAAATAGCCATGGCAGCCAGTAAGCTTGACACGGTCTACATCATGATTACTTGTTGACAATGCAGGACCTATGACAATGGATATATACAATTCTATAACATAGAAGGCACACAAAAATGACAACCAAACTAGGATGTTCTGATTAAAGAGCATAGATTATTATGAGCTCCTAGAACTTATTGAAGAAAGTTAATAAACATTATCGAATACATATGCTTTTCAATATGATAATTGGTAATTTACACTCTATGCAAGGTACCTGTACCCACCAGGTGGGGAAAAAATGAATGAATTTCACTATGTAATTCACCTATGTTTCAATATTAAAACTATATGTACAAGTAGCAGTAAGGCCTGTCCTTCAAAAGCAGCAGACATCATTTCCATGGTTGTCAGTTATCATCTAATCAATGCTAGCTTGGTTCATTACCCAAAATGAAAACTGGATAACTTGAAGGAACTCCTGGAAAGATCTGGAAGCTTTCTAGTAGCAATAATGCCTGCTGCTAATGCACAGAAAGCAGCCAAAATAAAGGCAGGTATATTTCCTCCACCAAATAAAGCATCCCATGGATCCACACTGAGGGATATAATCATCTAGAGAAATGAAAATGCAGCATGGATAGCTTCAGTTGAATCAATAAAATGCAAGCACATAAATGAAAAGTGTACTATACATCATCACAATTGTTCTACAAAAAATAGAGTTACAGAAAAACTTCATTTGATGGCCAGAAAATGCATAACTTTCTTCAGGTAAGCTACTTAATTATAAGAAAATAAGCACAATGATTGAACCAGTTTACTAAAAGTACAACCTTCATTCCAAAACAGAAAAGAGCAACATAACTACCAAGGAAATCAGAGAAGGAAAAGGGAAATAAGAATTAATGCAATTGAATACCTGTGGAATAACAATTGAAAGATTTAATACTGCTATCGCCAACCCTGTGCAGCCATACAAATTTGTCAGAAAAGTTCCCATATCCAGAAAATAAAATAGGCAGAACCAAAAGCCAAAGAAAAGAAAAATTGTTAGGCAAACCTTGTCCACCACCTGAATCAGCGGTCAACTCTGCTGTGACAGAAAAAGGAACAGTATATCTAACCTGCAAGACCAAAAAAATTAGAATTAACTAGAAAAAAGGAAAGGAAAAGAAAGAAAGAACCATCTTTTTTCGGTACATGGGAATGAAGGACCTTTTGGAAACAAGATTTAAAAAATATAGAAATATACTGCAGATGTTGATAAATACAGCAAGAGGAAAGCCAAGCAAAGCAAATACAATCAAGGCAGCAATTTTTATGGCTTCATTCCCTCCAATTACATGTTTGATTCCTTGAGAATATTCTTGAACAGATATCAAGCTACTGATGGTAGTCACAGCCATGCAGGCAAAAACAGCAAAGTTACTCATTGCCCAAATGAGTCTTGCTCCCATCCATTGACACATTGGTTCAATAGAAAAAGAACTAATGCCTAGAGCAACCTGAACACAATAACCATAATTAAAATGAACAAAGAAGATGTAATCACTCAGAGGCCTCAAGTAAAGAAAGGATCATCATTATATCAGTCTGAACAAAAGTTCAAAAGGTGTCTATGAAACTAGTGGTGCTTAATTTTGACTTCTTACAGAATTCAATAGCAAACCAAAAGCACCTTCTCTGGCACCTTGATCATACAACTTCACTTCAGAAAAACTCCCTTTTGGATCTCCATGGTATACTTCTCTTCCCATCCAATCTGTATCAAAAAGAAAGAAGGGGAACCAGGACAACTGCATGAAGAACAAAATTGCAATCAAAATAAAAGAAATAATTGTTTTCTTTTTCTTTCCTCTTTTATTTATTTATTTATTTTATCTCTTTTGGGGTGAGAGATAAGAAAAAGATAAACAAGAAATACAGAGGTGGCATAGGGTGTTTGAGCCTTTGTATGATCATCATGCAGAAATAATATCTATTAGTAACTTTCTACCATCAATCAAAGGTTACTGTCTTTACCTAATATATAAAGGAATCATAAGGGTAAAAATCATTTTAAGGCGTAATGATGCCAAAGGAGAGAGATGAGATAAAGGGAGAAAAATAGAAAGAAAAGCATGTGAACACAAAAGAAAATAAGGGGGAAATATGAGGGACAGGTTGAGAAACTAGGGGAAAATATATTTTATAGGAGAAGCTTTAACATTACTAATTCTCAATCTTTGGATAATATCAAGCATAGAACAAAACCCAAATAATACTCTTCTAAGGACTCTTAGTTAAAAAAGGAAAAAGAAAAAGAAAAAGAAAAAACCTCAAATTAAGTCCCAACAGAAAGAGGAAAATAAATAACTAATAAATCATATTTACTTTAAAATGCCGAGATAATCCACAACTAATCAAAATTACAAATAATCCCAAAAAATATAAATAATTCTTCCAAGGATTATACCTTGTCTGCATTATGTAACTAAGAAAACACTTACCCAACTAAGAGCTGAAACAATAAGAACTGAATGCATTGCAGGTGGCAAATGCCTTAAACTGGTCAAGAAATTAACCAATACTGCTCCAGGGCCATCACCGAAATTTTCATTTTGATCATTAACAACTTTTGAGTTGCCATGCTTTGGGGTTATATATTGTTCATAGCCATTCTCAGAGTTGTTCAAGTAAGCACTGGCAACAACTGGTCTATCATGTTTTAATTTTAAAAGTTCAAGGCCATTTTCTGTTGGATCATCCAACAAAGGAGCTGAGTCTGATAAACAATTTGGCTGCTCAGGGGCAGGTAGTGGAACCTTGTTAGCAAAATATATAGTCACAAGAGTACACAATGTCAGGAAGACCTGCATATGACAAAGAAGCTTTCAGACGCATATAAAAATGCACCAAAATAGTGACAGTAAAAACATGCCAGCATAAAAGAGAACAAAACTGGCATTTAAAAATAAGAAGGTAACAATGGGCCAAGATTCCATCCATGCACAAGACAAATGCATATTAGAAACAAAAGTTAAGAAAAGTTGTACAACAAATCTTAAATCCCACATATTAGAAACAAAATGCATATTTCTAGGTCAGCTCAACAGAAATGAATGACAATCTCATGGCAATACTTATCGCTAAAAGAAATGTCAGAATATAGATGCATCCTATCTTACACATAAAGCAGTCAAAGCAAGTAACATTTAACATCAATAATCTAAGGCAAATTCAAGATGCTATGCTCATATTCAGCAGAATTCACCTAAACAAGCATTTAGCAAGTCAAATTAATAATTATTTGTAAATAACTCAAGGAACAAAACTAAAAAAATTAAATGCACTTTACAAAAATCCAGCAGAAAATTTCACTACTGAGAATTGAAAGGCATATGCCAGTGCAAATTCAAAGGAAATTAAAACTCACAACCACAACGAGAAAAGCTGCTTTGAGATTGCCACAGGCTTCACAGCGAGCTCTATTTGTTAGGAAAGGAAACCATCTGCATTGAAATATTTGCAAGACAAATAAATTACCCCAAATATCTTAATGCAGTAAGTAAACAATGAAGATGTTATGTATCTTTCACTGTTAAATATCTTCACAAACTTTATGAAATAATTATAAAAGAGAAAAAAAGAACAAAACAGAAACAAGTAACCAAATACGTTTTCAATTTCCATGATTGTGCTCCTCCATATGTTCATAAATGCTTCAATACAACAAAACACATTACAAAGGAAAAAAAAAAGGGTCTCTCAGCAAAAAAAGAAAAAACGAAAAAAAAAAATGAGAGAGAGAGAGAGGTTTCACCTGTGCCAGTTCCCACTAGCACCAGCAGAGAATCCTAGGATGTTTCCCACAGCCATCCATGAACAAAATACAGCATTTGCAGAATTTTGTTGCTCAGGACCTAAAAAGATATTCAAACTACATTATCATGCATTAATAAACAAAATCATGATTCAGCAAATAAAGGATTTAACATCCAGATTAAAGAATGCAATTGTTCTATAACCACATGACAATTTCAATTTTTTTTTTTTTCCTTTAGAAGGAAAAAGAAGGGATGCTTACCAGATAGATCACCCAAAAGGGCACGAGCGGGTCCCTAGAATATATAAAACAAAGGTTTTTATTGTTTGGTCATATATATATATATAAAATTATGGTAAATGTTATGAAGGCGAAAACTAATGGCTATGACATGCTTACCTGCACTGTATTGTTTGCAAGATCCAACATCCAGAACCCAATAACAAAAATAATAGCAGCCCTTGTCCATGTACCTTTAAATGTACTGCATTGAATAATCATTCCATCATGCTATTGTTTTGCATGTTTAATATGTGTGACAAGAAAGCAACAGAAGACAATACAAACCTGCAATGCTCCTTCATATCACCTAATATGTACCCTATGTCTGCAGAAAACCCGATTTTATTATCACCTAAATCACAAAATTTGCTTAAGATGATATAAGCACCCTAAACATAACATATTAAATTTTCACCAAGGAAAGATTTGGTTCTTCAGTGCTTACAGCAACTGAGATCATAAGAGGCCCTGCAAGGATAAAAGACCATTGTCTTCCGAATTTTGAAGTGTATTTGTCACTCCAGATACCAACACAAGGTTGAACCTATTATCAAAAAAGAACCCACTAAATTATAGAAAACAGGAACAAAAAGTTTTCCTAAATTTGGTTAGCTGTGACAATCAGCAGCTAATTGCACCATGTACATAGCTAACAGAAAATCCATTGAGAAGAAATTGGATCAGAAATGAGGTCTTTTTAGTGGATAGGATGTGGAACAAAAGACAACTTTAAGTAGAGTTAGAACAGTAGTGTTGAATTATTTCTCTTTAAAAACACAGGAAGCACCATTATAAACAACTCCAGCATAGCAGAGACTGCCCTACTATTACTGGCAAATTTCTTTCAATCAAGCAAATTAATATTTAGTCCTCATCTCATATATAATCACTGTAGTTAAGGCTAAACCTTCTTTCAGGAGATGTTGAAAATTTCCGAATTATTAGTCTTTAAAAATAAAAAAGAAAAAGAAAAACAAAAAGAATAGCATAAAGAAGCATATAATTAGGAACCAAAAGTAAATATTTTACTGTAGAGAGCAGTCACTGAACAACAATAGTCATTCTTCATTTTGTAATTTCAATTTCAAAATAGTAGATTAGGGGTTTCTAACCTGAATTGTATATAGTTTTAAGTCCAATGACAGAATACTAATTTCAAAAATTAGGATAGTCTAGGAGATTAGGTTCCTGTTCTTAGAGTCTAATTTTGCTGTCTAAGAACACAGCTATGGTTGGATATATTGGGGAGGGTTGGTTCCAAGCCAACCTAGTTCATTCAGATTGAGTCAATTCAGTGCTCAAGTTGAGTTTTATCTTATTCATCATTTTTTCATTTTTCATTCATTCATAGAAACAGCCACTGAAAGCTGCTGCCACTACCCCAGGAGATATTAATGATCCATCAAATCATCAAAAGATTAAGAGACAAACTTCTTTCACATGATGGCCAAAAGAAACTTCTCTCACACGATGAGAAAAGAGAGACCGGCTGGGGAAGGAAATCTAATTTATCAATTTCAAACTATAACCATGAACAACTTCAAAAACAGTCCTTAGTTGTTGGTTCATTGGTGGGATGATGCCCAAAGATTATTTTACTCTCCACAGGTTGGGCATTCTCCCCGCTTTCTCCTTGTGTAATGAATCAATGATACAATCTTCCTATGCATTTTTGCTCCCCATTTCGTAATGTAACTAATTTTTCTTAGAAATTATTCCAAAAGGGTATAAACATTGAAGTAAAGACCTAGGTCTGTATTCTTTTATCAGTAACTTGTAGGGTTAGTGTTATTTTCTTTCCACTGCAGGACCAATTTTTTTTTTTTTTTTTTTCATTTATTTATTTATTTTTGAAATTTCATTGATCAGCCAAGAAAATAGGAAAGGATTATATTTATTTGGTTAGAAACGAGATCCAACCTAGAGGTCCCAGATGAAACAGTCTAAAGACATAGGACAGAAAATACAACCAGGAAAAGAGAATCAACCTTAACTAAGATGTCCCAACCTGACCAGTTCTCGACTTATCCAGACCAAAATTGCAGTCCTAATTATCTATCTTTACTTCTCTGTTTCCTATCTGGTATCATAATCTCAACAACTAAAGGAATACACTAAAAATTCTACAAATTGTTGGTTTTTAAGTTTTGATATACAAAATAATAAAGCATTTTAGTTATTGAATCATGGATGCCTTTGTTCCTATGGTAACTAACAATGTGGAACATAGAAATGGTAAAACTATGTCTGCTTTCTCATCTATCCTTAAAACTCCGAACTCCTCATATTCTCACCTTCAAAATCTATTAGTTAAACACTCCAAATATATCCTAGTTTCCTATTTTCAGAAAATTCCAGCACCTAATTTTCAGATATTGATCTTCTGCTCTGGCATAAGCACCCTGCACTCACTCTTTAGGTTAATTCCTAAGCCCAGTCCCAAGTATGTCTTCTAACCTAAAACCCTCAAGCCGTCCTCAAGATCTAAGTAATCGTTTCCCTCAAATGTGTTCAAAGTCAGCCAGACTAGATAAAAGGATATTGTTCTCAGTAAGGAAGCTAACCAAAAACATTCCAAGCATGTGAAATAGCTGTGAGATAAAATTTATATCCAGTTAAAAATACAACACAATCAGGACAAGTTCCCATCTTAACAATTGGAGAACAACGGTAAAGGTACTACTAAAAACAAGACTTATAACAGTAGGATCATTGATAATTAAGATGAAATCTGAAGTGTACAATCTCTACACAAGTATTTAAAAATGGAGAGGGAAAAGAGCAGCTTGCTATCACATACCACAATGCCTGTTATTGGGCCACAAAGCCAAATAAATGAAGAAAAAGCGTGCTCAATTCCAAGTGTCTGTATA